AAGAAACAAAACTCGGTTGCATTATCCACAACTGAAGCTGAGTATATTACAGCAGGTGCATGCTGTGCTCAAGTTATATGGATGAAAAACACTTTAGAAGATTACGGAATTCATTTGAAAAATATACTTATAAAGTGTGATAATACAAGTGCAATATATTTAACGAAAAATCATATTCAGTACTCTAGAACTAAACATATTGACATTATGTGTCACTTTATATGAGATCGTGTTAATAATCATGATGTAATCTTAGAATTTATCGACACGAAACATCAATTGGCTGATATTTTTACAAAACCTTTTATTGAGGAATAATTTGATTTTATAAGAAGAGAATTAGGTATACTAAATTTCTCGGATACATTAGTTCCTCTTTAAATTTTTCTCCGGATTTTCTTATCAAATTCCATTTTACAAGATCATTCACTTAAATCATGAACTGCGTACGAAATTTATATGTATGAACTTATGGTGCAAATTTTATATATATTGTGTATATGAATCATGAACTTATGATGCCAATTTTATATGATGCGAATTTCCTTCTCTTACAAAAATAGAATTTATGATGTTTGTGTGAATGAGTATGTGTACTTTAGAATGATAAAATCTTACAAGAATGATCCACACAATGTCAGCACCACACCTCAATGCAAGTAGTGCTCACTGCCTGTAGGCGGTGGCACCGCCTAGCTGGCGGTAGCACCGCCCAGCTAGCGGTGCCATCGCCCGCAACCTGCCCTATATAAAGAACATGCTAGGGCCGATGATAGAACCGACCCTAACCCATTCTACACTTCTCCAAAGAGCCCCAGACCTCTTAATCCTCTTACTCTCCCTCTAGCAACTCAAAAAAATCCTCATTTTCTACTAAATCAAGGATCAATCTCAAACACTATCTTGGTAATCACAAGAAGGAAAAACTACTAAGGTAATCCCTAAACCAAATTGATTCCCTCTTTGCATTACTTATTTTTGCCTCTTATTTTTCTTCATAATTGTAGTCTTCATGACTTCTAGAAGATCCTTAAGGGATAAAGGAAAGAGGAGACTAGATGAAAACTATGACTCCCTATTTTCAATTCTCATCAACATGCCCTTAAATTTATAACCATAAAATCTAGAAATGTTCAGAAGGGTAAATATGACTCCCTACTTCATCACATCTTGATAAGCAATATAATTTCAAAATAATATCATCATAATGAAGTTAACCAAATAGACATAGGAACGATGTATTGGATTATGAAAGGACATGAAAATTATTTTGGCTACCTAATATGATTGAACTATCGAAAAATGATATGATGCTTCCATATGGTGGCCTGATCACAAGACTAATCCATGCTTATGACATAGTTATCCCACCTGACGAATAAGTTATGAAACTAGATAGATTTAATGTCATAAATAGAAACCTACTTCGAAGATTAAGATGTATACTCAGAAATAGGATATGGACTAGATTACCTAGAAGGGCATATCTCCTCCCACCTAAACTAGAATCTGAAACACCAATATTTAGGGGTAATCAATCTCCTCCTACTGGTCCCTATGAGGCAACACCTTCAGCAGAGTAAGTCCTCCTCCCCCCCCCCCCCCCCCCCCCCCTCTCATCTATCAACGACATAGGGACTCGAATGGATCGATTTGAATAATGTCAAGATAGATTTGAACAATATCAAGATCAAATTTTAACTGAGTTACAGCAAATTTATCAACAGCTTAATTACTTGTTTAGATATTTTGATTTGCCACCACCTGAATAAGTTGTGTATATATTTTTGTTGATGACAAAGGGGGAGAAGCGGAGGAAATCCCTCTCTATTATTGTGCTTACTTTGATGTTGTAATCTTATATTGTTTACTTTGATATTGTAATCTTATGTTATTTATTTTGATGTTGTAATCTTAAAATGTTGCTTACTTTGATGTTGAAACTCTATGCTGAAAATTTCTATGATGTTGTGATCTCTTCAATGCTGAAAATTTCTATGATATTGTGATCTCTTTATCATACAAATGATGCATTATCGGATTCTTAATATTGTAAACTTTTGAATGCTACAATGCAATAATGATGATATTTCATGCAAAAAGTGATGAAAGGCTATGCCGAAACATTTTATCATACATGAAGTGATTGTACATTTAATATCTTGATGACTAGAAATTATGGTGATACACAATGCATGTGATTTCTAAATCAAAACTTGAATTCAAGGTTGTAAATTCAAGTTTATATGGCATATAGATATGGAAAGTTAAGGTTAACTCCTTCAAGTTTATATGGCATATAGATAGGGAGAGATTGTTGAATCTTGGATTTTGATGATGAAATCAATTGGTAAATTATTTGACATAATCTATGTATTGAGATAAGTGTGCAGGATTAATTACTATAGCAGTAAGGCGTAAAGCAGATGATGAGCTAGAATCAAAGATTCGGACGATGTATTGGGAGCTTGCGGAGAGCTCGTCTAAAGATCGCCGAGAGTTCGTCGGAAGATCGTTGAGAGTTCATCGTCGGAAACTCATTGGAAGATCGCTGAGAGCTTGTTGGAAGATCGTCGAGAGTTTGTTGAGAGTTTGTCGAAAGCATGCCCGAAGGCTCGCCGAGAAGTTCGCCGAAGGATCGCCGAGAGAAATTGACATACCGAACTAATCGCTTGCTTTAATCATAGTTAGTACATTAGTTGAGTTAGGATTGAGAGGTAATCCTGCTAACTCAGTTAGGGGCCAACTAGGCCCTTAACAGAGTTGAATTGGGCTGGTTGAATAGCTCACTCAATATCTGAAGTCACGGTCAATGGTGGCACCGCTCGGGACTCGGTCTCCCAAGTGCTCTGGGTGATTGTACCGCCCAGACTGGTCGGTGGTACCATTGACAGTTAATGCTCTCAACGGTGGTACCGTCAGAGCTCGATCTCCGAGCTCTGTCAGGCGGTCGTACCGCCTAGTGTCAGGTGTCAGGCGGTGGTACCGCCGGTACCCCGAAATCCAAGGATGTGACACTTTTTTGCTCCAATTCTGAAGCCAATTGGGGCATATAAATACCCCACACTTTTCTGCAAGAAAGGGCAATAAAGCATTGGCATAATCTTAAATTCTTGAGTATTAAAGTGTTGTAAAAAGTGTTAGAGTCCTCCTCCTCCCTTTCTAAGTATTGAGATCATTCAAGAGAGGTGTGAGACTTGTAAGGGTTATCTCCTAAACCCGTGAAAAGGAGAAAGCGCTATAAAAGATAGTTGGTCTTCGCCTATTGAAGGAAGGCCATTAGTAGACGCCAGTGACCTCGACGGAGGAGGAATCCGAAAGTGGATGTAGGTCATAACAACCGAACCACTCTAAATTCTGGTTTGCATTTCATTTTAAGCAATTTACCTTTATTGCACACTACTTTACCTTCTTACTGCCTTCTCTATACTCTCATACACTTTCAAGTTAAAATCTTTACAAAACGATTTTCGTCAGAATCAATTTTAATCGAAACGAAGACTGCTCTATAAGTTGATCTTAACAAATAGGGCATGATCCATTAGGGTTAAGTTGATATGGAGGTTTCTATAAATAAGAGAGAACCAAACACTTATAGGCTAGAGAGGTTTTTGGTTGTCATCTCCTATTCTCCTCTCCCCTTCTCCTCCTCTAGGTGTATAGATTTGGGTAGTGAAGCGAGGAGCATCATTGTAGCCCTATTGTGTGGATCACCGCTAAAGAGGAGGACGCTTGACTTCCTTCATCCTATCCTATAGATCTGTAGGGATTCAGGGATATACGATCTCCTTAAGTAAAACATAATCTTTTATATATACAGTTCTCGATTTTGTATATTTTGCGCACTAATCTTCGCATGACGATGAACATCTTTTTGGGAAATCTGAGAATTTTATTTTCTGTTCTTCTGCTGCGCATGTGATGTTGCCCCTAGATTGCTCTATAGTAAGACTAGTTGATCTTCGCCCGTTAGAAAAAAGATCGATAGTGGAAGCCGGTGGTCTCGAGTGAAGAGGAATCGGGAGTAGGCATAGGTCACAACGATCGAACCACTATAAATCGATTTGTATTTACTTTATGTTTTTCATTCTTATTATAAACTAATTTATTTATTCACTATGCTTACGAATATTTTTAAGTTAAACGTCTTTCCAATACGAATTTTATCGAATGAAATTTTTCAACCTCCGCCCCCAACCCAGTGCCCATATGGTCCTAACAATGACAATCAAGGAAGAGATAGTGCGGTGAAGACAATGATCGATGGGGCATAGACCAAAGATAATATTATCTAAAATAGTACAGTGAAGACAATGACTGATGGGGTGGAGACCAAAGATAATATCATCATTTAGAAAATAAAAAATATTGAGTAATCCATAAATAAAATGTTTTAAATAAAAAAAAATAAAATTGAGGGTTTTTTGAGAATAAAAAAATCTTTAAGTATGGACCAATGAGAATGCCAATGGATAGGGTCCACATGTTATCTATAATTTCAGACAATCGATATGATTATTGGGTTCTTGACGAAGCCGTAATGAATAGAAGAGGGATGATTTACATAAAGACATCTAAAATCTATTTGCTCTTGATTTTATAGTTTAGTTTTGATCTTCAATTGCTGATAGAGACACTTTGCACGTGTGACCAAACAGTTTATTAATTATTTTAATCAGGTCCATTAAGTATAAGTCATGAATAAAAAAAGAATATATCAATTATCATGTAATTCATTATATTCTATTTCGGATATGATTGATTATTCGATAAAATATCCGAGTAATGCAAACCTAAATCCGACTTTATATTTTTACATGTACATGCTTCCGATTTGGTTGGTGATATTAATTCCAAGATATCTATAAGGAGTAAAAACGTAAAGTCGCTTCGAGTTTCTACCATTCAAAAGTGACAATATTAATTAAATATAAAATAGAAGAAAGAAAAATAAAAATAAAAAAAAAGGCAATAAGGCAGCATAACAGAGATACCGTGGGACTCGGTCTCCGTCAGGAATCGCCAAGGCCAAGTGGTGAGAATGACGCCGTGAAATCCACGGCGCTGACAACAAAAGCTTCGCCCATAAGTCTCTCTCCAATGGTCGGTCGAGCGCCACTAATCTCTTCTACTTCCGATCCCCAATCACTAAACTCCATCGCTTCTCTCCTCGGTCCCTTTCCATCACCTACCCACTCGTCTTTAGGTGTCTCTCGCTCGTCCGGTATGCATAATCATAGCCCGTCGCCCCTCCTGAACCGGACCGGGAGCTTCCGGGCCGACGCGCTGGGCCACACCGCCCTCCACCTCGTCGGCAACCTCTGCTTCGCCCTCTTCGTCGTCGGCGTGCTCGCCTTCAGCATCATTGCCGCCACCTACCGCCCAGACGACCCCCTCCTTCTCCCCTCCTCCCCCTCCGCGGCCTCCTCCAAGATCACCGCCTTCCTCACCTCCTCCACCAACGCTACCTTCCGCCCCGATGACGCCCCCCTCCGCACCGGTGAGGACTTCCTGAACGCCTCCTCGTCCTCCGCTTCCACCGATGACCCCGCTGCCATCCACCTCGCCGACCTCCCCGACTCCAACAGTTCTTCCGCCGCCGCGACGGCCGCCGGCGGGGACAGCACCGACTGTGACGATGCCGCCCCCATCAACTGCGCCGACCCGGAGGTCTTCCACCTAATGATGCGCGCCACCATCGAGTCCTTCCGCGACGTCCACTTTTACCGCTTCGGCAAGCCGGTGCGCGGCGGCGACGGCGGCGGTTCCTGCGACATGGCCTGGCGGTTCCGCCCCAAGGACGCCAAGCGCGCCGGCTTCTACAAGGACTACCGCCGGTTCGAGATCACACGCTCACGCGGCTGCGTTTATTCCATCGTCAGGATCGGCGACTACCACACCGGCGTCAATGCCCGAAAGAAGAAGAAACCGAAAAAGGGCGCTAACGACGGCGCCGGCGAGTTCGCGATAAATAAGATCCCTATCTCATCGCAGGCCGCGGTCCCGCTCGTCGTCCCCGTGGTTGGCGAGTCCGTGAACGACTCCCTTCCGGTGGTCGAGTCCGAGGGCAAGTTCAGCAGCAGCAGGTACCTGATCTACTCTGGCGGGGGCGATCGGTGCAAGAATATGAACCATTACCTGTGGAGCTTCCTCTGCGCACTCGGCGAAGCCCAGTATCTGAACCGGACTCTCGTCATGGACCTCACCATTTGCCTCTCGTCCAAGTACTCGTCCACGAATCAGGACGAGGAGGGCAAGGATTTCAGGTTCTACTTCGACTTCGAGCACTTGAGGGACTCCGCCTCGGTCCTCGACCAGCGCCAGTTCTGGAACGATTGGGCGCTGTGGCAGAAGAAGGACAAGCTCAGCCTCCACCTCGTCGAGGACTTGAGGGTCACGCCCATGAAGCTCGCCAAGGTGAAGGGCACCCTGATCATGCGCAAGTTCGGGGCCGTCGAGCCGGACAACTACTGGTACCGGGTCTGCGAAGGGGAGACGGAGTCGGTGATCCAGCGGCCATGGCACCTCATCTGGAAATCTCCCCGCTTGATGGACATAGTCTCCGGCATTGCTTCGAGATTGAAGTGGGATTTCGACTCGGTCCACGTGGTGAGGGGGGAGAAGGCGAGCAACACCCAGCAGTGGCCTAATTTGGCCGCGGACACTTCCCCGGAGGCCCTGCTGTCGACGCTCAGGGACAAGATCGAAGACGGAAGGCACCTGTACATCGCGACCAATGAGCCCGACACCTCCTTGTTCGATCCACTCAAGGACAAGTACTCCACTCATTTTCTCGACGATTTCAAAGACCTGTGGGGGGAGAATAGCGATTGGTACGAGGAAACAAAGAAGCTAAACAATGGGATTCCGGTGGAGTTCGACGGGTACATGAGGGGAGAAGTGGACACGGAGGTGTTTCTGAGGGGCAAGAAGCAGCTGGAGACCTTTAACGATCTCACCGGCGATTGCAAAGATGGGGTCAATACTTGTCGCACAGCCTCTTGAATGGCTTGCGGATCAACTGGTATGGTAGGATTTTGAAGAGATCTCCAATTTTAGCTGATTCAGGTTTGTGAGTTGCAGGTCAGTCAGTCAGTGGACATTACATCTCATCACAGTATGTTAGGTTCTGCCATGAACGCTGTTTCTTTTCTTTTCTTTCTTTCATCGCCTCAAAGTGTTGTGTATCAGACAGATCACAGCTTTCTTTCAGACTTACTTGGGTGCATCAAGATTAGTTGATATGTTGAGATCTGGAAGAGCTCTTCAAATTAAACTGATTCGGATCGGTAAGCTGCAAGCCACATTGCTGTTGTATTCAACATTCGTCGGATCTTGTCATATGTTAGGGTATGTCAAGCTTACTGGTTAGCCTAAATTTTTCCTTCTTTTTTTTCCCCCATGATCACGCATCAAGATCACGGCTTTTACTCAACTTAAGTGCATTGCATCAGGCTCATTACGTAGGATCATTATGCTTCTTATTTACAAGTAGTATTTTAATCGATCATTCACACTAAGGATGGCCTCTTCTTATAGACACTCAAATTATGTTTAGAAGGGTTCTTAATTTGTGATCGGCATACTTTTTCTTGTTACTACCAGCAGTATTTTGAATGTACCAACTGGTATTATGGTATCATCCTTTTTACATGATAAATATGCCACAACCTTCATCTAAAGCAATGGTGTCTTGATGTGGCTGATGTGTAACACCTCTGGATGTGTAAGAAGAGCCTCGAGTCGAAGGGTTAGATGAGCCTACTATTATTAACTGAGTTTGAGCCTTTTGGACAGTGTGGTTTTAGGGTGAATATAGTATTTAGATGAGTCCAAGTAAATGAATTTATTATCACATTTAGTCGGATTGCGACAATGGTATTAGGGTGAATATAGTGTTAAGAATTATGATGGTCCAATTAAGAAATTATTATCGTAGATGGACAACTATTAGGATGGGCCTCATGTGGATCGGTGATTTGGGCTATGTTTGAGTCTTGATGTGGAAGGAGATGAGTCGATTTGTAATGGCTAGATGGGTTTGTTGTTATTAACTTGGGACTTGGTGCATTTTCGTGCTGCCTGATTGTAGATCTATCAAGTTAATTAGTAATTTGTCTTATCACATGCAGCTGTGACATGATGGGTCTACAACGAAAGGTGTATGAATGCACGTTTTTGTTCTTTGGCTGTGGAGCAACAGCGTGGACTCCTTTTTTGCCCTCTCTCTCTCTCTCTCTCTCTCTCTCTCTCTCTCTCTCTCTCTTATGCTTTTTGAAGATCTGTCCGTGAAATGTTTCCTGAACACAAGTTTCTTTATAACCTGTGGTCTGCCAACCTCCTTTGGAGATCATATGCAGGTTGCTTTTAGCTTTGATGCAGTTACTTTGACAGATCACACTTGTTTTTGCTTCATCCATCGCCATGATCACGGGAACAACTTTGTCATCCTCCTACCTGATGTGTATGATGACTAAGAACTCTTAATGTGTATGCGAGTCCTACCCAAATTCTATTCAATGCAAACCAACACAAAAAGTGATGCTATCTACTACCCATCTCTCTCCTCTTCATCCCCATCCCGCAGAGTACAGGAAATAATTCTGATTAGTGACCACAATTTTAAATTGCACAGCAACGTTGCTTTCTTGGTTTCGTCCATGCTTTTATAGTCTCGTGTGATGTCTCGGACGGTGTTTTGAAAGGAACCAGTGATTCATCTGTGGATCACAAGCTCGTTGCTTTACTCTTCTTTTTCGAGTGAATGCTCCTCTGCTGTTTTATGGTTCGTGGTCATGGATTAGACTGACACGTGGGAGCCCCCATTTCTACCAATGGTGTGTCATTTGGAACTGTAGAAAACATTTCCAAACACACGACGTGATCCACGCTCCTAAATAATGGACTAATTTTACGGTCATGCCAAGGTTGACCCGATGCCAGAATCGACGGTTTCGGTTCTTGTATTTTAAGAACTAGATATATATATATATATATGGGCCGATTCGGGGAATCGAAATCGGTTCGAACTATCGAGTTTTTATTTTGTTAATTAATAATAGTTTAAATTTTTAAAAAGTATAATTTAAAATTATATTTATATATATATAATTGTGAACTGTTGGTTTCGATTCTCAAAAATAAGAAATCGATGAACCACTTGTCTGGGATCTTATATGATGACTCGAGCAATTTTGTGTACCCAATTCAATGGGATCTTCTACTAAATCCATAGTTTATTTAACTGTGAATAATGAAATATTAAAGTGAATGACAGCGAATAAATCTTCCAATCAGAATGAACCAGTGATTGAACAATCAAAAGCAAGGTTTGTATTGAACAGGTCCAGCAATAATAAATTACCTTGCGAAAAAGAATGCTGAACGAGATTAGATTAGATCGGGGGAATAAATAATAAGCACTTGAAAACTAGGATAGCTTGCAAATGGGGGAGGGAGGGAGAAAGCCATGTGTCTCGGATGCCTTGCTTGCACCACCAACTAATAATGGTGGCACGAGAGGCATACAGGAGAAGAGTTGGCCTCGTGTTGCCATTACGTGCCCCTCACTATCACTCTAAACAGCAATTCCTTACGCCAAGAATCTGCCCTCCTTAATCCACTCTTCTTCGCCCACCCCTCGTTGACTCCCCACCCACAACTCACAGCGCATCTCTTGGCACAATGACACATCGCCGGATTACGTCCACGGATTCCTTAACTCAGATGTGCATTTAGGTAGAGGTCAAAATACTACAAGCAATTGCTATGCTGTTGTTCTCTATCGACTGTAGGGACAGAGAAGAGGGGAGAGGATGGTTTCCTGGTGTGGTGAGAGATATGTGGGGGGCTGCTTACACCGCGGCCACTACTGCTTGTCACGACCATCTTTAAACTGGTCCTTTTCAGAGGAACAGTCGGGACTCCTTTTGAAGCAGTTTGAGAACAAGCAAAGCTCTGTGTTATGTTAGTAGCAGCACATGGAATACTCCTCTTATCTAATTCCTTTCGTCTCCAATGGAACACCAACCACTAAAAGCTGTGATGCAAGAATAAGTGGCGCATTTTATGTGGTTTCAGTCTTCCATCCCCAGTCCTGTCCTCAAGAATCGTGGCTCAAAAGCAATGGGTCTCTTGTTTTGGGACTTTTTGTGGAAGTAGCATGCTTTTGCTGTGGTCCAACAAAACAACATATGTTTATGATCTTATATCCTTCTGTCATTACCGTGGCATCAGGCATCGAGTCCACGCTAACCAACATAGAATCCCTTCATCGATCCGTCTTCACTCGATACCAATCCCACATGCGAGATGATAGTGCTATTAGACTTGGGTTACTCTTCTTCTGGCCTTTGCTTCGGTCACATTTAATCCTTGTGTGAGGAATCAATGAGCTTGGCAACGGAAGAGCATAAGACTAAATCAAAGTTACTGTTGTCAGTGGGCGAATGGGGTGACTCTTGACTTCGCTATTCCCTCTATAAATAAGACTCCAACAACCCATTCCCGATGTATATAGATATCCACATCGCTCCCACTTCCATCCCACACTCTTTCTTCTACTTCCATCCGTATCTCCGTCTCTCTCTGTTTTTGGCCTCTTGAGGGAGAAGTAGAGCGATGGATTCTGTGGAGGAAGGCAAAGAATACCACCACCACAACAGTAGCAGTAGCAGCAGCTGCAACAACAACGACCGTGGTGCTCGTGCCGTCGTCAAGGGCAAGCGGACGAAGCGGCGCAGGGTCCACCTACCGCCGGCCTCGGCACTCGCGGGGCCGACCACCTCGTCCGCGTCCTCCGCCGAGTTCTCCAGTAGCATCACCGAGGAAGACGAAGACATGGCCAATTGCCTCGTGCTCCTCTCCCGTGGTCGAAACGTTGACCCGAAGCCTGAATCGGCAGCGGAAGAAGGCATCGACCGCGGTGGTGGCACCGAGAAGTGCACGAGCCTAGGTTCGGCTGAGGCCGCCGTGGCGACGACGGACGCAAAGGCCGGAGCGTGCGTTTACGAGTGCAAGACTTGCTATAAATGCTTTCCTTCGTTCCAAGCGCTCGGGGGGCACCGTGCCAGCCACAAGAAGCCCAGGATGATGGTACCGGCGGCGGCCGAGGACGATGGGCTGCAGATCAGCGTGAACTCGTTCTCCAAGCCATTAGTGGCTCCAAATGATGGCAACTCCATCAGCGGTGGCAGTAACAAGTCGAGGGTGCATGAGTGCTCCATCTGTGGATCGGAATTCTCGTCCGGCCAGGCGCTCGGCGGCCACATGAGGCGGCACCGGCCGTTGTTGACGACCAAAGAATCGCCAGAGCTTAAGAAGGAGAGCTGTGTTCTCTCATTGGATCTAAACCTTCCCGCGCCATCCGACGGTGACCATGAGGAGCTTCTCATATTGCCACCCGCCATGACCGCCTTTCCCTTCGAAGGCGAGCAGCCGCTTGTCTTCTCGGCGACGCCGCTGGTGGATTGCCATTACTAAGCGTGCAATACCAGAAGCAAACTCCTTTTAACTTTTCCTTTTCTCTAAATATTATCCTCTTCTTACAGGATCAAATTAGAGATTAATTATGGGGATCATTATCGTGTGAGTCTAATTTGTGTGTGTAACAAACAAGATTGATACTTTGGATTCTTTCTTACTTTGATTGTTTCATGGTTTACAAAGGAAGATTATTGTGCTCAGGAAGACGTGTAGTCTTGCATATTTATTGTTCTTTTGTCGCCTTTATTGTTGTCTTGAACTTGCGGTCATGAGGAAGACAACGGGAAGCTTGAGAACAGTACGAGTGTGAGGAGTCATCAGCTTTGGGGGTATTGGCTTCTCCACCACCAAGGAAAAGGATATGGATCAGGTTCTTCCCATGAGATTGTTTTGTTTGGAAGCCAACACCCTTCACATTAAGTGCCAGAAGAATAAAAGGAAGAGTTGAGAACGAGGCAAGTAGGTATCTTCCCTACCCAGCAAGCGCACACTTGCACGTAACCCAAGTATCTCCGAGCTTATCTACTCCTACAAATGGTTGGCCCAATTTTTTCTTTACCTTCAAGAAAATGATAGATCACATGTATTTTTTTTTCTAGTAGTAATAATAAGATAGTATTAGTCCAAAATCAAACTAAATAAAAAATTTAAAATAAAGGTAATAAAATTATATTGAAATTCTTAATAAAACTTACAAATTTTTTAACTTTAACTAAACACTTAGATTTAGATGTTTCTATTTATTTAGATACTATTTATTTATAGGTATAGAATAACAATTTAAATCAAAGGATTCTTATCTCTAAAACTCTAACTAATTAACTTATTTAAAATATAATATAAAAGATAATAACTTATTTTAAATCTTAACACTTTTGCTTAAGGTATGCTTATGGAGATAAAGTCTCATATTACCTCAAAAGATGTTTGATCTTTTTGAGAAAGATTTGATAAAGATATCTATGTCATTATCTTTGCTTCTGGATAAAATGATATTCAATTTCAATATGTTTGATTCTTGCATGACAAATTAGATTTATAACCACTTTTAAGATACTTTGATTATCACTATAAAATAATTAGTTTATTAATTTGATGACAAACATTTTCGATTAAACACCTTAATCATATACACTTGTAAGTGAGGAAGCCTTGTATTCCACTTTAGTTATAGAAAGATAGGTAGGTCGATTGTTATTTATTACTATACTATGAGATACAAACAAAAGTATATAAAATGATATAGCTAATTCAAATCACCTCTTGGATCAGTATAACCATACAATTCAAAATACATATCATTCTTATAGAATAATCTTAAAATCAAAGATAGAATTCATATATCTCAAAATTCCTTAGGTATTGCATAAAATAAATTACGAGACTAATTAAAAATATAATATTTGGTTTGGTAATTATTAAATAGATGAGAGAAAAGATCAAAAGTACTTAAAGGAATCTTATAAAATCATCGATAAAGAGAAGCATATAAGGAGAACTAAATGAGATAAAGTTATGACCCATTAGATTGTTGTGAATAAGCTTTAAGTGAAATTTACTTTCAAAGTGATCTATCAAAAAATTGCTTATGTATTTTATTATATTGACAATCTTCATAAATTTTATTATTACTAAAAGTAGTAAGATTGAGAAGATCATTAACTAAACTTGTTTACATCATAATCTTTAATTTAAAAATTTTAATATTACCAAGTCTAATATGTCATATTGATGCATCATTATTTATACATATCCTATCAACATAAAAGTTATATGCTTATAAAATATATAAATCTTTGACCCTTTATCTACATGCACTATATCTACATTTAATTCTTTTATGTTGTGAAGAAACTTGACTTCGTTATGACCAAAAAAATTTAATTTCTAAAATCAACTGCATTTGCAACAAAAAAGAGATTTTTCTTCGTATGATACACACTCTTTAATGTAATAAGATCATTATCTTTATTTGAGACTATGATGTTGCCTTCTTTCTCCACTTGGTAAATAATATTGTCTATTATAATAATTGTATCATTATCTTCATATTCACGAAGATGGATGAATTTGGTACTATCACTTGTGAGATGATGATTACATCCTGAATCAACTATCCACTCATATTCGAAATTAATGAATGTTATGGCCTCAGGAATTTCAACCATAAAACATTTACCTTAATTCTCATTAGTAGCATTAGAATAATCTTCTTTATTTATAATATTTCTTGTGTTAATCTTAACATGATAATTTTTCTTATGACTTAACTTGTCACGCCTATAATATTTACTCTTCTTTTGATTTATACTATTGTTTGAAGAAGACTATGATTTGTTATTAGCATCATCCTTTTTCTTTTTATCTTTGATAAAAAAAATTATTTATTGAAAAAGCATCTCTATTTCTCCCTAAAGGGGAAACTCTACTAAAGGATTGTTATTGGATCCATCATTTAATAGATGTAGATAAAGAATATATTGTTTTCAAATATCACAAATAATATAATATTTTCTTTTGTGCATCAAAAATATATTGATTTGAATTTAAGAGCGATATATCTGAATATAAATTTTTAATTTTTAAAAAGTACCTAGAAATTGAGAGATCACCTATTTGTCAAATCATTCTTCAAATATTAAAGTCGAGCCATTTTCTTTTTGTTGAGGATGATATGGAAGTTAAAATGTGTTCAAACAAATTATGAGAAATAGAACTCTCTAATACAATTCTAATTTTTACATTTAATGTCCTTTATTTCTTTCATATGTCTTCATATGTAATATTTGGTGTTGAAAATGCATCAATCACATCTCATATATTATCTCCTATAGAAATATTTTTTTTTAATTTTATAGTTAGACTAATTAAGAAGTTTAATATCAAATTCACTAATTCGACTATTATAATCGATAGTTAAAAAATATTAATTTTCTAGTCAAGAAGATGTTAAATTATAAATTATCCATCTTCTGAATTAATCAAAACCTTTGGTGTCAGTGAAGTGCACGTCTTGATTGGCGTTGTAGCGTAAGCAAACGCGGGGATATTTATGACCATAAAGCTGGCGTTGACAGCGCCACAAGGAGCAGATAACTGATCATCCATCACACACCACCAATCTGATATCCGTGTATTTAATGCTTCTCAACAAACTCATTTCTTCTTCAAGTCCATCATGCACAAAAAAAAAAAATATATATATATATATATATATATATATATATGAGCACCGAGGGAAACAAAAATAACATGTTCCACACTCCCGTAGTTCTTCTGCGACCACGGGATGGTAGAGGAAGTGCGCACCATGGAATGGGCGGCTCTGTGTACGTGCTACATGACATTGCATGGCTACTCCATATGCCGCGTCTCTACAGAGCAAGTACTTGGTGGTGTGATTGGCATGGCAATCAAACGCCACACGATGGGCAAATTACGGTGGGTCTCGAGATAAGGAAATTAATGTTCCAAGTTAAAATACAATTATTTCTTAAGGTAGTGGACGTATAATTATAGCTTATGGTTTTGTTTTTATGGGAAGTGATTTCAGCTGGAAAGATGCAAGCACGATGAGGCAAAATTGCCGCCTGGTTTCAAATGGTTGACGCGGTAACACAACCGGAATGGCCGATGGTGGTGTCACCATTACCTACTTTGCAAGGTCTAACTCGTGTGGAAACGGTGGCGGCTTTTTGATATGGTGTGAATTCTGCTCTGGAAAGATCCAATTTGACTTCTCTCTCTCTCTCTCTCTCTCTCTCTCTCTCTCTCTCGTGACTCATAGGGCATGCGTGGTGTGTCAACCTACTACTATTCTGCCTGTGGAAAACGCTGTTCAAAAGCTTTATGATCTAAGCTTAAACTTAGTTACAAGCAATAGGAAATTAACCACCAACTTGTGTTGAGGACAGGTTATTGAAAGGGGAGAGGGAGAACTTAAAGCCATCTTTACTTTTAGTCTATCTACTTATTAATAGGTGGCTTAGTTTGCAGATGACTTCTCAACTTAAATTACATTTTTTAAACTTCTCATCTAAATCTTGATTTAAAAAAAAAAATTAGGTCTTCTTTCAATAATGGAGGTAAAATATTAACAAAATAATAATATATATATATATAGCAATTAATAGTTTATTTCCAAAAACTATCCTTTCTGCCGCTTTAGAATATATTGAGCACATATTTTTTTGTTTATCAATTTATCACTACTATCTGATTGTAAAACCAAAGATTAAACATTAGATTGGTCTTCTATCTGGATTGGATTGTTCATCCCGAGTTTCTTAAGGCTTTGCTTGCCAACTTATTATGTGGAATTTAGAAAGTTAGAAATGAAATCAATTTTCAGGAAAAAAACTTAGTGCTAAAGGTATTTAGCCTACGCTATCCATTTAATATTTATAGGAAACAACATAAGCAATCTTATTGACTTCAAATATATCAAACCCCTGCTTGATCTTATTCAATTGAATACTAATGGCTCCAAAAGACCTCAAGTTTTTTTTTTCTTTAGTGGCACTCACTGCCTCATAGATTGCAATAGAGCAGCCCATTGGGTTGCCTCAAAGGGGCGAATCACAATCTTTGGTTTTTCTTCTTTTTTTTTTTCTTTTTGTGGTAGTATTTTATGAAGAATATTATTGTTGATTGTAATTACTAATATGGGATGTATGCCTATACCACATGTACACCATCCTCTTATCAAAGAGTCTAATTCTTCTTACATATCGCTTCCTTCCGTATAGACGATAGCAAATTTATAAATAAGAACAAAATATTATGAATGACATTGAAAATTAGGTATCCTACATTTGAACTAACGTTATTTGATTTTTAATTCTGACATTAAATTATTTTATATAATAATAATCTGATTATATTTTTTATATTTATAAATTCAGATTTTCAGGATCCTAAGTTTGTGCATAGGCCATGGGGAAGAAACCGATCATTAGCATGAGATTGTCAAAGATTCATGCATGGAAAGCCATCATAATATAGTGCTTGCTTTGGTTAGTGGGTCATGGTTGATGTGAAGGAGACTGTAGGGTGATTTGAAGACCATGCATGCCGCCTTCTGCTCGTCACTCTCTAGTCGCTGGTGGATCGATAGAGATGAACAGACACTCCAAATGATACCCAAAAGATGCTCCTCTGATTCTGTTCTACAGGTTTATATCATACAAACAGTGGAAGATGGACAGCAAACAAACCAAA